CATAATATCCTCTCCAAAAACTAATGCCCCAAAGAAGCGTGGATGTTAGTTCAGAGCACCAGCTCTGCCCCATCTCCTGTAGCTCAGAAGTCAGCTTCCACAGGCATTACTCATGGTGCTTACTAGTTAATGGCTCCAATGTTTGCTGGGCACCCAGTGCCAGGCTGTGTAGACAAAGAGGGAGTGTACTTCAGGGACACAACTGAGAAAGCGCTGGGAAGCAGCCCTTGCCCAGCTGGTGTGAGTGGCGCAGGACAGCGATTTTCAGGCACCGGAAACTGGTTTCATCCTGAGCCTGACTCCAGGATAAACTTCTGGCTCCACAGTGAGTGATTAGTCGTCACTGTTACATGGATTAATGACTAATCATTTGGTTAGGAACACTGACCTAACTCCCTAGAACTTACAGGGATTTTAGCAGTCGAAACAACTTACTCTATATTCTTCTGTGCAAATGGGACACAGAAGAGGCTCACAATAAAGAAAACTCTTAGGCATCTGAAGAACCAACTCCAAGACACAATGTGGCGCCTCAAGGAGCAATGACACCTCTCTGCAGCTCTGGCAACTTTGTGACTCCCAACACCCGGAGTGTTTGACCAGCTATAAAGAGAGTGAGTGTGCTGCACTGTTTCTAAGTGTTTCAACCTAGTCGGACCTCGGCGTCTATCATGTCCTGTGTGGCCTGTTTCCTTGTCAGTAAAGTGGGGAGGGCACCGCCTGGATCCATGGGACCAGCAGGGTTGGGGCAGGGCACCGCCTGGCTCCACAGGGCTGCGGGAGTGGTGAGGACTCCGAGGACGGGACCTGGCCCGAGGCCGGTCCACATGCACACGGAGAAAGCGCAGACTCCAGGAGGGCACTCTGGGTCCCGCACATGCCGCACGGTCCTGGACTCCCGCAGCGCCGCCACGCCCGCCCGGCTGCAGCAGACCACTCAGCCAGCGTCTCCGGTGCGCTCGCCAATGAAGGGACACGTGCTGGGACCAGACGCGGGGAAGGCGCACCTCCGGCCTCCTGGTTCCGCGGGCGCGCCCACCTCCCCGAACCGGCCGCGGGGGCCCAGACGGCCCCGGCTCTGTGA